GCCCCGATTGGCCCACGCCCCGGAACACTGCGTTTCTATTGGGCGCCGCGCCTGTCAACCATCGACGTGGGGGTTGGGTTGAGGCAGGAAGTGCCCGCCCAGAATGGCGGGGCGGGTGCAGTGCGGGAGAACCCGGATGGAGAGAGGCGCGGGGCGCGCTGGGAGTTGTAGTTTGAGCGGCGAGTCCACGCTTCAATTAAGGGGCGGCTCATTAAGTGCCGGCTCATTAGCGGCGCTGGAAAAAGAGGAGAATTCCTTCCCTATATCCCATCCCAGAGGTGATGCTGGAATCAGGAGCCCAGAGGATGGGGCAGAGGCGCTGCTAAGTGAAGAAAAACTGAATTCCATCCCTAATTCCGCACCCCCAACTTTCCCAAATATCTGCCCTGGTACGCGCCAGATTCCCCCTCCTCGTTAAATTCCCCACCCTAATTAACGCAGGAGACACGCTGGGATTTCAGCACATTCCGCATTCCCACGTTTATAAACAAAGAAAATTTTAAAAATTTGGAATAAACACACGCAAATTTGAGAATAATTTAACAACCGAAGGAACAGCCGCGCCCCAAACCCCTCAGAGGCACGGTGTGACAGGGTCAGCAGGGCTGGGCACCTCCTCTAGGGCCCGGCGGGGTCATCCCAAATTCCTGGAGAAGAATTCCCGGAGAATTCCGGGGTTCCCTCAGTGGCTCAGGGATTTCCTGCCCTTCAGCATCCGCCGCAGGATCACGGCGACCCCGCCGGGAGTGCTGATCCGTTTGATCCAGCCGTGAGTCTTCTTCCGCTTCCAGTTGTTGGGCTGGTACTCGTTGCCCCGGGATTTTCCACGGATTTGTCGGAAATTCCATGCTGGGGCCGGGACGCGGCAGAGAACGGCGGCGTTGGAAGTCCCAGGAAGAGGCTCCGGAGCGTTTGGGAGCAGCGGGAAAGGAAAACCTCGCAGCAGGGAAAAGCTTGGGGGAAATTAAAGCGGAAAAATGAGTGAGGAGAAGGAAATAAAGGATAAGTTTAGAATTTTAAAGTTGAGATTTCCCCTCCCAGTACCTGCGGCCCCCTGCCCGCGCCCACACCGGGCTGCCCCGCACGGGCTGATGGTAGTTGTAGTCGTCTCGGGGGGGTCGTGAGAAGTTACCATGGCAACGGCGCCACTGCGGCCTTGTCGCCTCGGGGGCTGTCGGTTGTCCCGCAGGATGTCGCGACAGGGCCACGAAGCCACTCCCAGTGCCTGAAAGGGCTCCATGAGAGCTGGAGAGGGACCTGGGACAAGGGATGGAGGGACAGGAGCCAGGGAGTGGATTTGGGATGGGAAAAGGGAGATTGGGGGGGGGGGAAAGGAGGATTTTGGGAAGGAATTCCCAGAGCAGCTGAGCTGCTCCAGCCCTGGAATGTCCAAGGAAAGGTGGAATCAGCCTGGGATGGTCCAAGATGGGACTGGGTGGGATTTCAGGTCCTTCCAAGCCAGATAATTTGAGGATTTTCCTTTTTGTTATCAATCCCAGACCAAGAGCAGAAGCAGCTCCAGGATTTTTCCCTGCTGGTTTTTGTGGCCCAGCAGGAATGAAAGGATGTGGCTCAACCCTCCCCGAGCCCAAAATCTGGGAAAATAAACCCAAAACTTAGCCCTGGTTTGGTGTTTAGCCTCCTGGGGGTGGCACTGCCACACCACTGGCGCTGCCACACGTGTGACACCTTGGTGGCACTGATGGGTTTGGGACACTGCCATATTCATGGCACTACCACACATGTGACACATTGGTGGCACTGCCATGTTTGTGGCACTGCCACCCTCATGGCACTGCCCATGGCACTGCCACACTCGCCCCCTTTGCCATCCCAAAAAGCCCCACAGTGTCAGCACCCCATCCCAAATGCCACCTCTGTCCCTGTCCCCTTCTTCTTCTTCTGTGCCCATCCCCGTCCCTGGCCTGTCCCCTCTGTCCCCATCCCTGTCCCTGTCAATCAGCCGCAGTCCCTGTCGCTGTCCCCATCCCTGTCTCCCCTGTCCCTGTCCCCATCCCAGTCGCTGTCCCCATCCCTGTCCCCTCTGTCGCTGTCGCTGTCCCTGTCCCCTCTGTCGCTGTCCATCAGCCGCGGTCCCGCCCCTCCGGAGCTCTTCGGGCTTTGCCTTTTCCATGGCGACCGCTCCAAGGACGAGCCCGGAGCGCCCCCGGAGCGGGCACGGGCAGCACTCGGGGCCGTTTGGGCAATTTGGGGCGTTTTGGGGAATTTTCGGGGGGGGCTGAAGGAATTCACTCCCTCCCGCCCCCCCAAAAACGCCGGGAAAAAAAAAAAAATCGGGATTTTCACCGCCCTGCTCCGCCTCCCCACCGGGAATTCTGCGGAATTCCAGGATTTGCACTGGGAACTGGGCGCAATTCCAAGATTTGCACCGCGAATTTTGCCAAATTCCAGGATTTGCAGCGGGAATCCTGCGCAATTCCAGGATTTTTCCCTCCTCCCGCATCCCCGGAGCCCCTGGGCCATCGATGAGGTGAGCGGCGCTTTTTTCCCCCCGCGGGGCTGCGGGAATGTCCTGGCGCCCGAGGTGCTGCTGCGGGGAGGGGGGGCGGTGACCCAAAATTGCGGGAAATTTTCCCGTCGGGAAAACAAAATCTGGGATGCGAGGGGGGTTGGGATGTTGTGGGGCAGAGAGGAGCCGGGAAAAACCCGGATTTGTGCAGGTGCGCCAGGGAGGGGGGGAAGGAGGGGAATTATCCTGGAAAACCAGCTCGGGGAAAAGCTTCCTTCATTCCTTCCCTCCTTCCTTCATTCCTTCCCTCCTTCCTTCATTCCTTCATTCCCTCATTCCTTCATTCCTTCTTTCCTCACCTCGTGATGCAACGGCAGGGATGGATTGCTGGGGGGGAGGGGGGTCCGATCCCGCTGGAATTTCGGCCGGAATTTTGGGAAAACCTGCCCGAGGTGAAGGGAGAGGTTGGGCTGGTTCCAGTGCTGGTTCCAGTGCCTGATCCCAAACCCTGATTCCAGACCCTGATCCCAAATCTTGATCCCAACCCCAGATCCCAAGCCCTGATCCCAAATCCAAATCCTGATCCCAAAGTCTCCTGGTTCCAAATCCTGGTTCCAAATCCTGCTCCCAAGTGCCCCGTGCCATTCCTGTGTCCCCTGTGCCAGCCCTGGTGCCAGGATCCCAAGGCCAGATCCCGAGGCAGGATCCCAACAGCACAATCCCAGTGGCACGATCCCTTTGGCAGGATCCCAAGGATGGATTTCTCTGGCTCCAGGATGCCTCTGCCAGATCCTGCCATTCCCGCCTCATTTTCATTCCCAGTCTTACATAAGAGGCATTGAATTCCCAAAATCCTGAATTCCTGAAATCCCAAATTCCCAGATTCTCAATTTCTCAAAATCCTGGATTCCCAATTTCTCAAAATCCTGGATTCCCAAAATCCTGAATTCCTAGATTCCTGAATTCCCCAATTCTTGAATTCCCTGATTCCAGGACTCCCAAATTTCCATATTCCCAGATTCCCAAATTCCCATATCCCCGGATTCCCAGATTCCCACATTTCTGATTTCCCAGATTCCCAAATTCCCGGATTCCCACATTTCTGATTTCCCAGATTCCCAGATTCCCGAATTCCCACATTTCTGATTTCCCAGATTCCCGGGATCCCTCGGGCAGCCAGAGCAGGGCTGGGAAGGAGCTGGGTCGGGATACCCCCCCACCACCATCCCGTTTCCATGGCAACGGGCGCCATTCCCGCCTTCCTGCATCCATCGGGATCCGGTTCCAGCCTCTTCTCCCTGGATGCTCCGGGCACCGAGCGCGGGGGAGGTGGGAGACGGGGATCCGGGAATCTGGGATCAGGGATCCTGGGATCTGTGGATCTGGGATATGGGGATCCAGGAATCTGGGAATTTGGGAATCTGGGAATCCGGGAATCTGGAATCCGGGGATCTGGGATCTGGGGATTCAGGAATCCGGGAATCTAGGGAACTGGGATCCCGCAGGAATGGGAACTGGGATCTGAGATTCCAGTGGAATGGGAACTGGGATCCTGCTGGAATGGGATCTGAGATCATTCAAGAGTGGGAAGTGGGATCCATATCCCACTAGAATGGGATCAGGATCCTGCAGGAATGGAAAATGGGATCCCACTGGAACAGGATCCTGATCCTGCAAGAATGGGAACTGGGATCCTGCAGGAGTGAGATCTGGGATCCCGATCCCACAGGAATGGGAATTGGGATTCTGATCCCACAGGAATGGAAACTGGGATTGTACAGCATTGGGATCAGGATCCCGCAGGAGTGGGATCTGGGATCAGGACCCCACAGGATCAGCGCTTGTATCCCACTTTCTCCTCCTGCTGCCATCAATAATTCACCGTGTTCATTTTCCCTCTGCCATAATTAACCCATTCCCAACCTCCGTGCCCCCATTCCCACCAGCTTTTCCCTGAATATTCCCAAAATCCCAAGATTTCAACTCCAGCAGCGAGCTCTGGATAATCCCACACCCCACGTTCCTTAGTTTATTTTGTGGAGAGATTTTAATTAAATTTTAATTCCCACCTCGGATGCTGCTTCCGACCACAGCCGTGTTTATATTTAATGGGATAAATATTTCAATTTTATGGGATAAATATTTATCTTTGTGGGATAAATAATTAATTCCTAGGACTGGAACTTCCCTGTGCTACACATTTATTGGGAAAAGGGAATTTTGTTTTCCAAAAAGGCTTTTTTTCCCCCAGGTTTTTTCTTTCAGCCAGAATGAATCCCTTTGCCAAGGGCTTGATGGCAACTTCAGGGCTTGGGGACAGGGATGTGACCCAGAAAAAAGCAGGATGGGGAATCGTCCATGTTTCCATGTTTTTCCCTGGTTTTTCCACATTTTTCCATACTTTCCCATGGTCTTCCTTGGTTTCCCATATTTTCCTATGTTTTTCCACATTTCCCCAGGCATCACCATGCTGACCAGCATCACCAATGGCTTCCTCTGCTGGAATTAGGACTGAATCCCATTTTCCCCCCATTTTTCCCCAATTTCCCCATTTTCCCAGGCATCACCATGCTGACCAGCATCACCGACGGCTTCCTCTGCTGCCTGCTGGGCAAGACCCCCAACGCCGTGGGGCCCCTGGACAGCGTTGAGTCCAGCGACGGCTTCACCTTCCTGGAGGTGAAGCCCGGCCGGATCCTGCGCATCCACCACAGCGCTCCCGAGCGCCCGGGGCCCCCGGAATTCCCGGGCTCGTCCCCCGAGCGCGGTGCCGTGCGCTGCCAGCGCCGCATCACGCTCTACCGCAACGGGCAGCTGCTGATCGAGAACCTGAGCGAGGCCTCGCGCCCCGAGAGCGCCCGCAGCCCGCGGCGGTGCCCGCCGTGCCCGGTGCCCGAGGCCAACGGTGAGCCAGGAGCGCCGGAGCCCGCCGGGGCCGCCGCCAAGCGCCGCAAGCGCAAGCCCAAGAGGGTGGTGACGGTGGACTGCAAGAAGCGCATCACCAGCTGCAAGGGCACGCACGGGGACGTGGTGCTGTTCTTCATCCACGGCGTCGGAGGCTCTTTGGACATCTGGAAGGAGCAGCTGGAGTTCTTCTCCAAGCTGGGCTACGAGGTGGTGGCGCCGGACTTGGCGGGGCACGGCTGCAGCTCAGCACCGCCCGTGGCCGCCGCCTACACCTTCTACGCGCTGGCCGAGGACATGAGGGCCGTGTTCAAGCGCTACGCCAAGAAAAGGAACATCCTCATCGGGCACTCCTATGGGTAAGGGGCTAGAAGCATCCCAGAAAATGGCAATGGTCACAAACCCCGTGTTTTAGGAGTTTGGGGTTCCCATTCTTTTATCCCATTTTTATCCTGTTTAACCCATTTTTATCCCATTTTTATCCCCTTTCTCCCCTGATTCAGAGCTCCTGAGTGTCCTTGGGGCAGGCACCATCTCAGTGTCCAGCTAATCCCGAGACGGAAGTGCAAGGGCAGGGGCTATAATTAGGATAAACCAGGATTAGGGCTCCTGATTAGATGCAGACTAACGAAGGAGACGGAGCCCTGCCACGCTGGCACCCTGTCCCAATGTCCCCTCAGGGTGGCCTTCTGCACGTTCCTGGCACACGAGTACCCCGAGCTGGTGCACAAAGTGATCACAATCAATATAAGCAATATAATTAGTACAATTAATAATTAAAATAGGGAAAGCCAAGCACTCTGTGGTTGTTTTTAACCCTTTCAGGGTGTCCTTCTGCACGTTCCTGGCTCACGAGTACCCCGAGCTGGTGCACAAGGTGATCATGATCAATGGGGGCGGCCCCACGGCGCTGGAGCCCAGCCTGTGCTCCATCTTCAACCTGCCCCCATGTGTGCTGCACTGCCTGTCCCCCTGCCTGGCCTGGAGCTTCCTCAAGTGAGTCACCGCTGCCACCCACAGGGTCCTGTGCCACCCAGAGGGAGTCCTGCGCCACCCACGGGTCAGCCTGGCACTGCCACTGCCGAGGGAGGGGACACAGTGTGGCTTTTGGGGGTCTGGGGGCTTCCTGTGCCACTCAGGGGGCATCCTGGCACTGCCAATCTGAGAGAGGGGACAGGGGGTGGATTTTGGGGGGGCTGGAATCTCCTGTCACCTCTCAGGGGACTCATGCCAGCAGTGCCACTCTGAGGGAAGGGAGAGAGTGGCTTTTGGGGAGCTGGAGGGCTGGGGCTCACCCTGGCACTGCTGAATTTCGGGCTGAGCCCCCTCCCCCTGTGCCAGGGCCGGCTTTGCCCGCCAAGGTGCCAAGGAGAAGCAGCTGCTGAAGGAGGGCAACGCCTTCAACGTCTCGTCCTTCGTGCTGAGGGCCACCATGAGCGGGCAGTACTGGCCCGAGGGCGACGAGCTGTACCACGCCGAGCTGGCCGTGCCCGTGCTGCTGGTGCACGGCATGCACGACAAGTTCGTGCCCATCGAGGAGGACCAGAGGATGGCAGAGGTACGGGGTGGCACCTCTGAGATGGGTTTTGGGGATGCTACCCCCCAAAATGGGGGGGAGGTGCTGTGGAGCCTTGGGGAGGGAGTGGGAAATCCTCTTGTGACCTGAGGGACATGGTCAGGGTGGGACAGGGATGGGCAGGGTCAACTTGGCATGGGCAGGGACGCTTTGTCATGGGTGGGGACACCTCCCACTGTCCCAAGGTGCTCCAAGCCCTGCCAGGGGCACTCTCTGGGAGGGGACAGTGTGGCTTTGGAGGGTTGGGGCAGGGCTGGGGCTCATCCTGGCCCTGCCACTCGCCAGGGAGGGGACAGAGTGGCTTTTGGGGACTCGTGCCACCTCGGGAGGCTTCTCACCGTGCCGCTGGCCACCCGCAGATCCTGCTGATCGCCTTCCTGAAGGTGATCGACGAGGGCAGCCACATGGTGATGCTGGAGTGCCCCGACACGGTGAACACGCTGCTACACGAGTTCGTCCTCTGGGAGCCCGACACGCC